GCCCCAGGTTGACGCGCTGCAGCCCGTGATCAACGTGGTGCCCCTGCAGCTGCTGTCGTACCACCTCACGACCCTGAGGTGCGCCTTGAATCTGCCCACTTCCCCCCGCTGCAGCGTTTCGGGCGTGCACAGCTTTGGGCACTGGCTGCGGCACTCGATGGGGCCAAGGACCCCTTTATCTTGACCATCAACGGATGCAACATCCCTCCAATAGTGGGGGAGCCTGGGGGTTGAGGCAACATGTGCCATTGAATGTGACGTACCTCCACCCGACCACGTGACCACCCCAAGGGGCTTTAATGTGGACCAGCCCCGCAACCTGGCCAAGAGCGTCACCGTGACTGAGGAGTGACGGGCGCCGACAATGCGGCCGCGCCGCGATGGCGACGGTGTCACCAGCAAGGGGCGTTGCGCCGAGTCGCAGTGGCACCCCTGCAGGACGGGTGTGCGGGGCGCGGCACTCGGGTTTGGCGCGCTGATCAGGCTTCACGGCCTGTCCGCGGCCTTGATAAGGTCGATCACAGCAGGATTTGTGCACGGCACGCTTTTCGGTGGCTTCGATAGTTCAATGCACTTGGCCGTCTGCAGGACGCCGGCGTTCTAGCGGGCTGATTCCTGCTCGACTCCGCTCCCGCGCATTTGGGGCTTTCTGCAAGTGGGACAGGCCGTCCGAGTTCAGCAGGATGGTCGTTACGCGCAATAAATACACCCAAGCACCGCCTCGTGGGCGCCGACACGGGCTGCCAGCGGCAGCGCCGTTTGCAGCTCTTGGAATGCCTTTACCAATCATCAGGACCCAATGAATTGCTGCGGCGCGACACCAGGTTTTCCTGCGGCAGCTTCCGCTGCTTTGTGAGCAGTCACGCGTGCGTGGCAGCAGCACAGACAGCTGCTTGTGCGTTCACCTGCGTGTCCTCCACACATGCGCACTGTTAGGTCGCTTGCATTGGACCCGGTCTCATGCTTCCCAAAGGCGCAGCGTATCAACAGCATGGTATGTGACACGCCGTCCGTCGGCCTGCGACAAGCATTTGCTGCTGCTCGTTGGTAGCAGTATCGCTCGCACACCCACCCAGGGTGCACACCAGCAAGGGAGCGACAGCACTTCGAGCGGTGAGCGGTCCACTTACGCTTTACCATCGTACCCTTCTGCCTTGGTTTCCTCTCCCGACAATACGTGCATCCTTGCACCTTGAGTTTTGAGAACAAATCAGGCGTTTTTCCCGTCGTGAAACCACCGACACACACGGCACGGTGCAACACATGGCTTCTCCAACGGTTATTTTTGGCGGGGCAGTAAAACTGCGTCATAGGGACTATCAAGTGCCCAGCATTGAGTGGATTATGAAGGAAGCAAAGCCGGCCCCATCGCCTGTGTAAGAGTTCGCGGCAAATATCCTGTGTGCGTCGTCGTGTATCTCTTCGACAGCCGAGGGGGCACAGTTGAGCACGAGGCGAGGCGGCGTGACGACCAGCATGGGTCAGTAAGAGGATTTAGCATGATAACACATACCAGGCAAGCAACAGGGCCAAAAACACTCATAGGTGTCCGTCCGCAAACCATGCCCATGCTGTCAGGCTGGTTTGGGTGCGACGACACCTCACCGCGGCAGGCGACAGGGGCCCAGCTATTGCTAAGCAGAGCGCGCACCAAAAACAAGCTACAAGCGTTGTTCATATCTCTCAGCTCGCATGATTACATACCTCGGGTTCGCCCGTCTCGAGAAAGGCCTCACTGAAGATAATTCAAAAACGTGCATCACGTTTGACCAGCCCTCTTTCTAGCGCAACGATAAGGCTGTGAATTGTGTCTTTTTTTCCGGTTGTTTGTGGCTTCGGCCTCGATCTAGAGCTCGTGGAACGCATTCAATGGGGGCCTGCCTCTCCACGCCTGCACGCCAGACTCCACAGAAAGGTAGCAGCCGCGCACAGCTTTCGCACAATGGCGACCTGGTGTCGGCCGTCGTTCGCGTCCGCTGGGACGAGTCAGCAGGCGGCGCTGGATTGGCGCGCCTCGACAGCACAGCAGAAAGGGGCCCCAAGCCCATAAGAGAAGACTCTGTCAAGCTAGAGGTCGTCAGCAAGGTGCGGCCGCCGCCGCCAGGCCCCGCACGCCGCGATCCGCGCGCGGCCGTCGCGGATCGCGCCTGAGAGTTTGCGCCGCCCTAGGCACGGCTGGCACACCTGGCCAAGCCCAGGCAGCTAGCGCCCTCGCCACGAGCCGCGCCCCCCAGCCTCGCGGCCGGCCACAAACAAGCCCGCCGCGGCGCCCCCCCCGCAGCATGCGTTGCGTGATGCCGATCGCGTGTGGGAGCAGCCGCCTTTGGCGACACCAGGGACGCAAACGGGCGGGAGGTGCCGCGACTACCACTCATTGTGCCCTGCACACGTCATGCCGGCCTCCACATGTGTCCCCCCAGGTCCATGAACTGCAGCAGGCCCTTGCTCTCATCGACTGCCACCCGCTGCTGGCGCTGCCGGAGGCCGCCGAGCAGCTAGCGGAGCACATGGGCGCGGACACCGTCGGGTGCGATCGCCCAACCAACCGCCGCGTTAGTCATGCGGGCTCCAGAGCCCTCCGAGGCCGGGGGCCGCGCCCGGCGGCGTAGCCTCTTGTCATCGGATGATGTCATGGGCGGTTTAGAGAGACCGCCGGGCCCCGAGCGGCGCGCCGCTTTGACTGCGGGCCCCAATTATATATTACACGGCGATTTTCCGAATCGGTGGCGCGATTGCATCCCCCGCGCCAACCGATCGCCCCGGCGATGGCCATGTCCCCCACCCCATCCACGCACGAACGCCCCGGCTCAATCGCGCCGCGCAGGCGCCGTTCGTCCCCGCGCCCCACCTCACTCTCCCGCTGGCCGACCCGCTTTCCCCGCCCCGCTGTTTCGCTCGCCCAATATCACATCTAACACGTCACAGAATCTTCGCGTTTGACCCAGAGGACCCAGAATGCGCCGCCCTCCTCGCCGCCCACGGCCCCGGCGCGGCCGCGCTCGAGCGGTCTGTCGTGATGCGGGGGTTCGAGTGGTCCGCCGTCTGCCTGCGCGCCGGCGGCGGGCGCTGGCTGATCGTGCCGGACGCGAAGCAGGTGTGTATTCGGGGGTGGAGGTGGGGCGAAAGATGCCCGCGGCGGTGGCCAGGTCGGAATCTTGGGGGTATCTTTGTAACGGGGTGGCGGCGCATACGCTCTCCGGCCGCCGACGCCGACGCGCGCACACACACACACACACACACACACACACACACACAAACACACACCCACACACTCTCTCTCTCTCTCTCTTTGAATGGCCCCCCCAGGCGGACGCGCTGCCCACCGACTTTGCGCGGCTGTACAAGGAGTGCGGCCTCCGCAGCCTTGCCGCAGTGCCCGTGGGACCGCCCGGGGGTGCCCCGCTAGGGGCGCTGGTGCTGGCCAGGCGGGAGCCCTACGATTTTGGCGAGAGCAGGTGCGCAGCAGCAGCTGCTGTTGCCGCTGCTGCGGTGGCAGCGGCGGCAGCCGCGGCCAGAAACGGCGGACGGGGTTTCTCGGTTTGCTGTCTTGCTTGCAGTCGCCGTCTGCAGCTCGCGTGAGGTGTGGGCGGGGCGGCCCATCGAGGCCGAAGGGCGGCCGGGCGGACGACGCCGCAGGGCGCCGCCGGTCCGGGGGCGCCCGTGACCCGGCCGAGGCAGCTGGCGCGGCATCTCATTTGAAGCCTTGCCGCCCTCAGTGGCCTGCGACCTCCGCACACGCCCGCTGTTGTACACAGATGACGTCATCGCTTCACACATCACCCCTTCGTCTCCCGCAGGTCTGCCCTGTGGATGAGCGCCGCGGGGACGGCGCTCCTGCAGCACATGCGGCCGGCGCAGGCGAGCACCACCCACCCGACCCCGCACTTGACCCTCCGCAGCGCACGCACGCGCGTGCGAGTGCCTGCCATGCAGGCCGTATGCTCCGGAGTGCGCCTGCATGATTTATTCTGAGCCTCGAAACCTGCCAGTGGCTGGCAACCGGCCGACCCGCTCCCCTCCGTCGCGCCTGCCCCCTCCGTTCCGCCTTCCTCACACTGCTGCGTGCAATCTGCTCCTCCCTCCTTCCGCCTGGGCTGCCGCCGCGCAGGTGGGGCAGGCTGTGCGGCTGCTGCGGTCCATAGACGAGGCCGAGGACCCCGTTGAGGCCATCAGCGCGCTGGTGCAGGTGAGAGCTCGCGCGCAAGGCTCACAAGCACGCTCATGCGTGCGTGTTTGCGTGGGCGCACGCGCGCGCGCGTGTGTGTGTGTGTGTGTGTGTGTGTGTGTGTGTGTGTGTGAGTGTGCACATGCAGGGTGCTCACCTTCCAGTGACCTGTGCTTTCTGGATTCCGGTCGATGGCAGTCCTCTCTCCGTTATACAAAAAACCCATCCCACAGGGCGGCGCATACTTCATGTGGCGCGCCACCAACATAAAGATGGGCGTGCGGCTCGCGCTGGTCGAGGCCGGCGGCTCCACGGCGCTCGTCTTCGAGTCGGCCCGCGCGTCCGTCGGTGG